TCCTCTACCCTGCCCCGCTCAGGGGCCTGGCCTTCAGTCAGGATGATTACGGGACTGCCCCTCCCGAAAGTACCTGCCTGCTCCTTTGAAAGTATTACTGACAGCCTTTTCATTCTTTTTTTTTCTTTACTTCTTTAAGGAACCCTGTAATTTCTTATTCTTTTTCCCCCTTTGCTTTTGCTTTCTTGTCCCCTCTGTCCCCCTGAACTCTTTGAAATTGGCTCTCTGCCTGCTGACACCAAACTGATACTTTGCGTTTCACTTCTCCTTATCCCTTTATGGCAACAGATGTTGAAATTTTGTATCCTTTTATCTGCCCGGCTGCCCTTTCCTGTAATTACGTCGCCTTGTTAGCAGTACAAAGTGGGCTGCCTGGCTGCCTGGCCTTTGAGCCATTGTGTCTGAACACGTGTGCTCTGGTGGGTGCTGGAGGGGATGCATGCTCACACATATACATGTGACAGACACTGTATGCCCCCTCCCTCTGACATAGCAGGGACAGTGAGTTTCAGCACCGTCCTTACATCTCCACTGTTGGGTTTGAAATCTGGGGCAGGTGGTTCAGTGGGCAAAGGTACTTGTCATTGAGCCTGACAACTTGAGTTTGATCCCCAGGAGGGAGATAAGTGACTCCTTTAAATTATTCCTTGATTTCCATAAGCTCAACCTTTCCAAGAGATGTTTGGGGAAGAACACCCCCCCCCCCTTTATAAATTTGAGGTGTGTTCCTTTGATTCTCTTACTAGAGGACCACCCCCTTTGGCACCTGAGGTAGAGAGACCCGCAAAGTACAAGAGAGGACCTGAAGATGAACCTTGTATCTGCCCTCCTATTTCCACAGGGGCAAGTCAGAGATCCCTTGACAAGTGGCAGGGCCCACTCACCTACAGAGGACAGTGAGAGACCAAGACAGATACTGTACAGGTGCTCCATTGTTGCAGGAGAAAATGGCAGACTTGGAGGCTTAAAAGAACACAAAATTAAACTGGGCTTGATAGCACGCCTTTAATTCCAATATTCAGGAGGCAGAGGGCAGGTGGATCTCTTGAATTTGAGGCCAGCCTGGTCTAGAGAGTGAGTTCTGGGACAGCCAGGGCTACACAGAGAAACCCTGTCTCAAAAAAATAAAATAAAATAAAAAATGGGGGTGGGAGCAGAGAGAGACCTCAGGCCTATTGTAAGGAGCATAGAAGCCAGCATGTGTGAAACACTCAGTGTAGGTAGTGCCTGCCAGACACAGGGACTCAACTATGTGAGCTGCTACAGAGGTAACAGCTACTTGGCCACCATGAGACCCATACAGCCATCTCTATTCCTATCAGGATACCACCAGGCTGGGGTTGCCACTCAGCCTGTATCCTGTCTTCCTGGTATGCGACTTGAAGGTATTTCCTCAGTGGCTTGGCTTCTTTATTCACAATCAGAGGACTGATTTTATGCATCCACAGGTCTCTGAGGGCTGGGCATCGGACACTGCCATGTGTCCCCTTACACTGCCAAGCCTCTAGTCGAATCAGATGGTCAACCTCATTACCTTTGTCATTGCCTGTCACAATCCCATCATTAATGAAAGAATTACCCAGTCCCTTCACTCCAAAATGTCTGTTTACTCTAGAACATTCTTTTTTCTCTGTCTTGTTAGCTGAGTATAAATTTAGACTTCTCTCCCTCAGTGGACAATGTCTCCTTCATAGTGCAGCTCACATCTCCCTGTAGTTTCTGCTAAAGCACAATTCCTTTGCATGTAGATGGTCCTTGATTAATGGTTACGGGAGGGAGAGAAGGGGGAAAATGGCCAGTGACACCTGAGTCTGCTTTAACTTACAGGCCATTTGCCCTTGGACAGAAGAGACATAAGCTGCTTGTCATACTTGAGTTTTTCAAAACTACAGTTACTGTCCAGGGTAGCACATGGCAGAGAGGCGTGCTGACGCTTCAAGGGCAGCAGAATGTAAGTGTGCTCCAGGGCCACATCAGACATCAGAGTGTTACAAGTAGCTGGGAAAGGTGTGAGGGCCACAGCATGCAGCACTGTGAGCTGGAAGCCTCAGAATACTCTAGTAGAATGCTCTGGTGAGTGTGTGGACTAAGTGAAGTAGGGCATGGTGTTGAGACGCTGGAGGGGCAGGGGAAATGCCTGTGTCAGCTGGGCCAGAGTGGCTGGTGGCAGTACATTATTGAATTTTCTCCCTGCTGGTCAGCAGGGTAAGCCAGGTTCAGGAGACCCTGCTTTCTTTTCTGATACCCTTCAGGGATATGGTCCTGCACAGGTACTAGAGGCCTCCTTCAGCACTCCGACTTAGCCTGTCTCATTCATCAGGCTCACCCTGCAGGCTGCCCCGTCTGTCTTTGTCTTTCCCTGGGTGGAGAGAGAATTGTTGGAGTCAGGCTCAGGAGGCTAGGGTGTGGAGGTCTGCGGCCTCAGCAGCTCCTGGAGGCTTACGCTTTGTCTACAAGAGTTGGAAGGAAAGGGACTTTTTTTGTCTGGCTCTCTATAGTGACAAGCCCAGTTCTTGCTTCTGTCTTGGCCTGGGGCTCTGAGCGTCAGCCCTGTTCCCACACAAGTTGTGGGACAGCCAAGGCTCTCCGCACACCACCCCGTTTTGCCCCCTACAGTGAGAGGCTGAGAAGCATTCTTAACATTCTTTCCAGAGAAAAGGGGTGAAATGTCTGAATTTGGGGTCACCACGTTATACAAATTGCAATCTAATCGTTTTTACAAGAACACACTTGCAGCGAGAAAAGCAGCGCAGGAGGGGTGAGGAGACAGAAGCCGGTCTGGCCTATTGTTGGCCCAGTCTCTCTCTCCATCACAACAGTTAAGCTACAGTTTTCTACTTCAATTGGGGCTGGGGTGGGAACCTGAAGGGCCCATGGTGCCATTTCTGTTTGTTTTCCCAAATCAAAGCCCCAGCAGGGCTCCTGTGGCACCGCTGGGCTACTATTAGAAGAGACAGGCCATTTCCCAGGGCCTGGTGTGTCCGTTGATGCTCTGAACTTACCCTTGTGTTGCTATACAACAGAGCTCCTAGGTTCCAAGGCCAAAGAAATCGTTATCTTTTTATTGGTGGTTTAAAGTGTGTGTGGCCACTTGAGAGTCCCAGGGAAAGTAAAGCAGAAACTTCTCAGGCCAGGACAAGCAGGTGAAGGGCTGGGCCTTTGGGTCTCCCCCAGGTCCCTTGGGCTGTTCTGTATTTGGTGGCTGCTTGGGCAGTGGACAGGATCCAGACTGGTGGCTCAACCTGAAAGTGCCCCCTCTCGCTTCTGAGCGCCAGCAGTGGGTACCCAGCTCTGACTCTCTCAGAATCCCAGTGACAGGGTGGGCAGGCAGAGGGGGCTCTCCTGGGCTCCACCCCTACAGCCAGTCTTTCATCTTCTATTTCAAACAAACATGAAATTACTTCCATAGATTAAAGGGGAGAGAGAGCTCCTCAATCACTCCTTACAGCCTCACTAATGGAGTGGGCAGGGCCCCAAAATCTGGAAAGGAAAGAGAGAACTGAGGGGCACAACAGCTCCCACCTGGTGTACACAAATCCAAGTCTCCCTTTGAGAGGGGACCTTCCCACCTCCCCAAGCTGTCATGGTTGATGGCTGCTCTAGAAGGGCAGGGTCTCTCTAGAAGCAAGGCCAAGTGGTCAGTAGCAGACACGGACCTGGGGAGATGTCTCCTGGTCTCCTAGGAGCCCCTGACAGACTCCCACCCTTGGCCACTGCATATATCAAGACTAACCTTGGAAAGGTGGCTGGCACAGAGGTGCCAGTTAACCCTTCAGTAGACAGCAGTAGGGTTCCTTGGTGGGCTTCACGGTGCTCACAGTGGACAGCTAAAAGGTAAAGAGAGAGCCCCAGCCTCCTCCTTCAATGCTTTTTAAGATGGCTACCTTTTAGGGGAGTAGGGTAAGTGAGAGTCTGAGTGATGGGGACAACCTGGAGCTGAAGTCTACATTTAGACACATGGCTGGCAGCCCAGCCACAAGCCCTTTGTGGGACACTGCTCAGGCCAAAGTTGTCCTTTAGGCCTTTTACCTGTACATGCCTGTGATGTGTGCATGGCCTTGTTTCTCCTGTCATACCATGAAGGAAAGCCGTGGACAGGAAGCTGAGGCACTGGGCCCAGAAGGTGCCTCTTCTTATTCCCTCCACACATTCTGCAGAAACTCAATACATCCACCATTCCCGGCCATAAGGATTAGCTGGTGCACTTGATGTTGAGGGGCAGTTGCTAGGGCCAAGAGGCCCCCCTACGTGGTTGCTAGGGGTCTGGCATGGGGTGAGAGGTCTGCCCACTGCCGCGGTCACGGAGGGAATTACACAGTCACAAAGAAATTGTTCTTCTCAGTAATCTGGTCTCGGCCACCGGGTGGGGTACGGGTGGGGGAGCAGGCTGGAGCCCAGCAGGCTGGGGGCTGTGATCACAGAGGCGTGCTAGCCCTGGGCCGGGGGCCAGAGACCGAGAACACCAGGGACCAGCACACTAAGCTGCTTTCTCAGCTATTTCTGCCGCTGGACACAAAGGTGTTTACTTGTTTTAACATTTCCTAGGACTCCCCTTTCTCCCTTTGTGTGGTCTTTATCCCCAATAAGGTTTGAGCCCCAGATTACAGTTAGGAATTAAGGCACTGGACTCAGGCAGCTCAGAACTGCATGACCTGCCAGATCAAGGAGTATAAAGTAACCAAGTGTGTGCTTGTGAGGGGGGCTGACCCCTTCAGCAAGACCCATTCATAGTCCCAGAGGGAGCAGGCAGCCAGCATGCAGGTGTGGCAGAGGAGGGTTGCTGTGTTTGCCCTACTGAGCCTTCAGCTAGGAGCTGGGATACTGGGGGAGGGCTGGGCAGTTTTCTACTTGGAGGTTCAGTGGCTAGGCATCTTCTCTTCAGCACTCCCAGGTGATGGAGACCTCTATGTCCCCAAGGCCAGATGCCTTTTGCAGGGTGAGAGATTGTGCCTGGCCAAGGTGGACCACCTTTCACTTTATGCCCTTCTTTTCTCCCTTAGTGGACAGCTGATCACACATCTGGGCAGTGATTTCCCCCCAGGGGCTGGGGTGTTGGATGTCATGTATGAGACCCCTTCTACACTGCTGTCCTGTGGTTATGACACCTATGTTCGCTACTGGGACCTCCGCACAAGTGCGCGGTGAGTGTGCTAGATGGATGGAACGCACAGAAGGCCTGTACCAGCGCAGGAACTTTTTAGTCCTGGGTTGGCCAGGGCAGGCACAGAGAGCCTGTCAGCAAGGCTGTAGTAGTTCAGGCTCCCTACCCTTAGGCAGCTCTGCTCAGTGTGGCCTGGGAGACAGACAAGGGCAGACCTTTTTCAGAGCCTCAACAAATCAGCAGGAAACTCTTCCTCTCTCAGACCTCATGAGGCCTGTGTGCGTCTCTCACGGATCCTACGTCAGATAGTCTGCCAGGAGGATGTAGATGAGGACATGGAGGCTCACGGGAGGCCTCTGCAGAGGAGCCTTTCTCCATTAGGGTTGCTCGTTAAAGAAGCCAGTGAGTCAGGCTTCACACTACTCTAGCCCAGTAGGCCTCCCTAACCTGTCTCCATCCCTGGGGAAGCTGGGCTGGAGAGAGAGCACCTGTCTGTACCACTTTCTCTTCCTGGACAGGAAATGTGTCATGGAGTGGGAAGAGCCCCATGACAGTACCTTATACTGCCTGCAGACAGATGGCAACCACCTGCTGGCCACAGGTTCCTCCTACTATGGTGTTGTGCGGCTGTGGGACCGGCGCCAGAGGGCTTGTCTGCATGTAAGTGTCCCAGCTGGCACATGCCTCTGCTGTGTCAAGACCCGCTGTGGGTTGCATCGGAGGCCAAGGTTGTAGCTATGGTACATGTCCCTGTGTCACCAGGTCTGGGACTCCAGAGTTGGGGTACCCCATTTCCCAACTGAGACACTCTTCCCATTCCTCTGCCCTCCCTCCCAGGCCTTCCCGCTGACGTCGACTCCGCTCAGCAGCCCTGTGTACTGCCTGCGACTCACCACCAGGCATCTCTATGCTGCGCTGTCCTACAATCTCCACATCCTAGACTTTGAGAACCCATGACCAACTGTCCTGCCTCTGGGCCGGGCAGATCAACTACTCAGGGACCTCTCTTGCCTGGCAGGTGAAGTGATTGACACCGCACCCTCTTCCCAGCCCTGCTTTGCTCCTGGACCTGTGGCCACAGTGCCCTAGCACGTGAAGCACTGCCTCCTGGACACTGGGGCTGACTCTGATGTAGGCCCTGCCAGTGCCTGTGATCTTAGGAGACTGGACCTGAACTCTGGTGTTTACAACAGGGCCAACGTAAGGTCCTGGGCTGGCAAGGCCCAGCCTGTCCCCGAGCCCTTCAGAGCACTAAGCAGTCTATAGAGTGAGGTGAGGGGCTCCCACATCCCAGCTAGAAAGACAGGTGAGTTGCTGGAACTTCTGCCAGTACCAGCTGTCTCCTCAGTCAGGTCTCAACTTTGGCCAGCTTCTTGATGCTGGGGGGCTCATTTCTGAGGTACTAGCCTGGTTTTCCTTTGAAACTAAGAAAAGGGACAAAGGACACCTGTCAGTTTGGGCTTCTGGGCTAGCCGTTCCTCAGGCAGGCTGTGAGAAATGTGCTATGATTTTAATTTCTGTAAAAATAAAATCTGGGGGCTGGCTCAGAGGTTAAGAGCACTGACTGCTCTTCCAGAGGCCCTGAGTTCAATTCCCAGCAACCACATGGTGGCTCACAGTCATTCATAATGAGATCTGGTGCTCTCTTCTGGCCTGCAGACATACATGCAGACAGAATATGTATACCTAATAAATAAGTAAATCTTAAAAAAAATAATAATTAAAAAAAATAAGATAAAACCTGATTGTTTACAGATCTGGTTCTGTAGTGGTTAGGTCATTCTAGAAGGCCCCAGGAAGGCAGAAATCATATTTAAACCCAGGAATATGTACAGGGAAGGACAAAACCGTGGCTCTGTGTCCTCAAGGTTTCTTTTCTTCCACCTCTTTGGGGTGTGGACAAGGGAGTGTGGCTGTTAGCCTGCTGTCACCTATGGTGACCTTTCCTTCTGTCCCACCACACACACCTTTGACAACCTGTAACCTTGCTCACTTCAAGCACAGCGTTGTAACATTCTGTGCTATTTCCTGGATTGCTGGATGTTTTTGACTTCACCTTTGCTCTCATCTACTTCATCTACCTTTTCCTGGGCCACCTGTATACGGCAAGTACAGCAAGCCCCAGCCCTGCTTCTCTCCTTTAGCTGGAAGGCAGGTACGGAAGGCTCCAGGATGGGGAGCATGGGGTAGGTTGCCACATCAGCGCCTTCCTTGGGAAGACCAGGTTGCCTGAGGACAGACAACATACAGCAAGGAATAGAAGGGCAGTCCTTCCAGAGCAACTCCAAACGACTTTACTCAGGAACAAAACCACAGGCAGAAGCAAGCTGTGCCCCAAGAGCCACTTCTGTGGCCTCTGAAGTTCTTAGAAGAGGCTGCCCATGCCAGAAGAGCCCAAGCCTGGAAGGCTCCCAGCTTCCTTCACACTGGGTCCAAGCAAGGCTCAGGACAGCTACTGGGTCTTACAGTCCCCATCACTGCTGTGGGCTGTTTTTACCTTCTTTAGCTCCTTCTGTAGCTCGGACTCAGCCACCATGACCTCCTTTGGCTTCTGATACTGTGGAGGGAACCAGGGAGAAAGCATAACTCGGTTACTAGCCCCTCCCTCCACACACACATTCTGGATCCTCTTGTACATGAGGAAACACAGGTGTGTAGGCCTGAAGGACTTGCTCAGGCCTGTGGCTGGGGAGCAGCATCCCCATGATGACCGCTCAAGGCCCCGTCATACCCTGTTATGTGTCATGGCCCCCACACACCCCAGCTTGGTGCTGTCGCTCCACCACCCCCGCCCCAGATAAGTAGGAGACGCCTGTTCTTCAACAAGCACACCTAGGACTTGGGGTGCCTGAAGGCAGGGGAGTGGGTGAGGGAAGAGAACCTCTTACAGAGATTATCAGGGTGCAGTTGGCATGAGCAAAGCTCAATGCAGAGTCATCCAGAGGAAGCTGGTGTCGGTCTAGGTCAGGAATGGAGAACTTCTTGTAGTACCTGTGGGGACATCAAGAGGCTGCTGGGGAACCGGCATGGTAACCCTGACAGCTGGGTACCAGGCCCTTCGCCAACAGGTTTCTACATAGCTCCCCCCTACTTTCTATACAGCTTGACAGGAAAAGGGTCTGGGTTTTTTGAGTCTGTGGCTCTGGAATCAAAAGGATGATGGCAGCCTTACAGCGGGATCAGCCAAGGGTGAGCAGAGCCAGCGGGGGTTCTGAGATTAGCCCAGGGGTCAGACTCACCAACTATACAAAGAACATCCCAAGGCTCATGGGGACACCAGAAATGGGACATTTATCCTAACAAGCACCAGCAGGACATCTAAGGCTGTTTACCTAAAGTGCAGTTACTACTTACATGGACCTCACTCAAAGATTGGGCCACTTTTGTCCGCCATGATGACGACAATGTGTCTCTGAAGGCCTCATTGACCAACTACTAAAACCAGACAGGAGCGTCACCACAAGGAGCTATCTTCCTGGGAGGACAAGTCATGAGACTTATGGAACCCGATCTCAGACTCTGAACCCTTTTCCCATATAGTAAACACAAACCAACCAGATAGCACAGATTCCGAGGCTTTGCCAAGAGGGAATGCAGTTGGGAGGGAGGGAAGGTGCCGGTGAAGTCAGGCTCAAAGTTCCTCATGCCTGGCCCTCACTTGATGCCCTTCCTCTCAATTTCCTTGGTGGTCGTGGGGGCTAGATGGGCTGGCACTAGCCAGGGTGGCTAGAGCCCTACCTTGACAAGTCCTTTTCTGAAGAGGGAGAGGCTGTGTGGGCTGAGGAGGGAAATGCCTCAGGCAGGTACAAACAAACTTGAGAGAAGGGCCTGGAGAGAATGGGCTTTTAATACTTCAGAGGGACCTGGCCCTTGTGACAGCTACACTGAGTCCACTTCAAAAGCTCCGATGCCCTGGGGACTCAATGCAGGGTTCTGCCCTGTCTTCCCTACCCAAATCCCTCAGTTCAGAAGAGGCTCTGGGGCCCCCGTCTTCCCAGGTTCCCCTCTCCCCACCAAGGTGCAGGGACCCACGCAGGAAAAGAATGTTTATTCAAAGGCTGACAGTTCAAAAGGAGTGGGGGCTGGGACCCTAATGGTACTGCAAGTTGCTTTCTTTTCCAAAGCTCTGCCCCAGGGAAAGGCGATCCATCTGCCTGCAATGGGTGGAATGCCTGCTTCATCCTCTTCCTAGCCAACAGGCTAAGTGAGGGCTTTTCCTGGGGCCCTGGTCTGGCCAGCAAAGGTGGCAGACACTGATAATAGCTGGGGGTCAAAGGTTAAACAGTGGAGATTAGGTGAACACAAAGGCTTGTTAGGAAGTGTTAACATCTTCCCTGCAAATATACACAGAAAGCAGGACCTGGAGAGAAGCACCGCCCACCCCCAGGCAGGGCCAATGGAGGAGAAGCAGCCCAGGGCTTGACTCCCTCCCCCCCAAGGCAACTTAAGGATCACAGAGAACTTAAGGTGCATGGCTTGCCTGTTCCCTTCCCCTACTCCTACCACCAGTCTAGGGAATGGAGGTCACCAATGCCTGAGAGGGTTAGCTTTATTTTTCATCTCTGATGGATTTTGTTCATTGGGTGAGGTTAAACAACCTCTCCTAGAGACACCTGACATCTAGGGTGCTAGTGAATAAAGGCCTCCACCTTTCCCTCTGCACAGCCGCCCCTGCTCACCTACTCAGCTTAGGGTGTGCCACAATACCTAAACTTGAATTTTTTGCCAGCATCTGGATGAGAGGAAGCCACTGTGCTTCTGGAAAAGTAAGAGTGCCTTCCTGCCCCACTCTACCACCCTGCCCAGTTCCCTGCAACCCCTGGCTCTGTGCATGGAAAAGGGTACTGGTTAGGCTTGTGAAAGCCCCTGAAGGAGCTGAGGCAGGGGCAGGCCTGCTGTGGACAGTGGCGTGGTCTCTGCCCCACACTCCTCTAGCATGTCCACTGACTTTGCAGGTATCCAGAGAAGTCTCCAGTCAGTCCTGCCCTGAGAGTAGCAGCAGGTAAAGCTCAAATCTCAGGCACTGGGCAGGCTACACCACGACTTCCTGCTGCCTGTAGAGTCACAATGAAGAGGCCCACACTCAGGTTCTCAGAGCCTGTAGGGAAGTTATCTGAGCACGGAGTCCTGTCGTCCAGATTACTCACTAATAAAAGCCGCAGCTAAGAGTATCACCAATGTCTTCAGCTCCCTTGCTTTGGCAGCTTGGCCATGGTACAGGGTGCATGTGTATATGTGATCTCAAGTTCCTCAAACTGTCGTGAGGTAGTGTAAGCACGCTTCTCACAAGTGGGGAGACCTTGGCCAGAATCTACTATTGGCACCTGGCAGGGGCTAGATCTAAGCCAGAGTCGTCTTAGTCCAGCACACTCGGTCTTTCCACTTCCGGCTGCCAGCTTCCAGGCTGAGACATGGAACCTTCCTTATACAAACATGTTTCTCAGGACCAGACGGCACCACACCAGGATCCCATAGAAATGGTTTCTTCCTTCCCAATTCATCTTATTAATACCCGAGGTCAAGACTCCAGCAAGACACTTTAGGCAAAGTGACTAGGCCAGTTCTGCAGGGGCCAGGCAGACACCAACAAGGCAACTGTGTAGCTCTGGTTGGGAACCACGTTCTAGAATGCTAAACGAGGGCACACCTCTAGGTGAAGAAAGGCAGAACCCAACAAAAGGGCTCTGGTTGGGGGGCGCCGCAAATGTACAGCACTGAGAGAGAATGCACACTACTCTGCACCGGTCACTGTATGCTTTTTATATGCGTTTCTACAGTCATTAATATATAGGTAAGAATATGCTTCATGTCCCCCTCTGGATGGTATCATGATCAGGAAAGAGATTTTAAAAGTGTTCTAAAAAATAAACCCTGTTCATACAAAACACTGCTGTGACATTTGACGGCTGGAAGTACCAGGAGCGACTGTATTTCTCCAGGTAGAAGGTAGGAACTCCATTAGGCACAGGAAAGGGCTGGTTAAGTTTGGTGTCCTCTCCAGCCTACTTTCAAAAATAGGGACCTGCAGGGGGCAGGCTGAGCCTGGTTTAGGACTCAAATTCAATTCTAAAGCGAGCACCAAAATATCACTTTCTTTTCCCTCTGTGTGAAGCCCTCCTCCTAGGGTACCACTCCCATCCTACCTTGCCTCCAATAGCATCTCAAAAATGCCCCCAACCCCTGCCCTTGGGTGCTAGAGTGCTCCACTAGCGAGAGCCCCTGGCCAACAGCGCCACCTATGGCATCTATGGTATACACGCGCAGGAGATGGGGCCCAGAGGATCTGCTCACAAATGAAGTTTTTGGTGAGCTAGCTGGCCTCTCTTCCAGCACTCTCTTGTAATCACATTTCTGCCTGATATCTGTATTCTACAGTGACCTCTGGGGGACGAAAAGGAGGCAGCAGCCAGCTCCACAAAGCGCTGAGCTGCAGATTCAAATGCTATCAGAAGCACTTTTGTTCCTAGTTTGGACCCAGGGCTTCGTACGCCAGGGAATGCTTGCTGAAGCACGGAGTTTGTTTTCCTACAGGCAATTTCTCTGTTGTCTGAAATTGCTAAATTCCACTTTAGGCACTGACTCCTGTTAATGATGAGAACAATAACGGGAATAAACTGCCTTTTATCTGAGGACTTCAGTGTGCTTTATAAACGCAAACCCTTATTATTATGACTTTATATTTATAGACAAGGTCCACTACGGGGGCTGCTGGCTGCATGTACAGCAATAATCCTGAAATTAATTCATTCATCTCTACCCTTTCCCTGTCCCCTTACCCCTGCCAAAGTGACAGGGTGTGGGGGTGCTAAGAGGACAACAGGACCCGAGGCTGCACTGGCACTGGAGGTGGCTGGGAGGCCCTCTGCTTCCTAAAGGAGACTGCGCCACATCACCTGAAGCGGGGGTGGGGGGTGGAGGGGTGGTAATGGCTCTCCTGTGAAGCAGCAGATGCGATGTAGGCACCCCTGAACCCCAGCAGCACGTTGGGTGGTTTGGCAGCTTGTGGATGAGGAGATTAAAAAAAATAAATAAATAAACAAAAACCCAAAACCCTCCCCAAATGAGGTTCCTGTTTAGAACTGGTACTCATACTCTCTCTAGCTCAGGCTGAAGTGGATTTGTTTCTAGACCCTTCGTCTGTAATCAGTCAAAGTACCAGAAACCCAAATGTGATCACACCCTGGCCACCTCTCAAACCTTAGCACTCACTGCCTTCCCCCAAGCAGATCACAAAGGGAATCTGAAACAGAATTCTAGAGATTTCTGAGAGCCAAACTTCTGCCTACTTCTCCTTAGTTCAGGGAAGGATGAGGGCTGCTACCCAGACGTGGCTTCCTGCCAATCCAGTGATGTCATCAAGCCAAGTTCACCAGGTCAAGGACATGACAACCTTAGAGTAAACTGCCAGAGACCACAAGCTAGTGGTTAAGCCCTCATTCATTCAACAGATAGTCACATGAGCCCTAGGATAGGCCAGGTCCCAGACTAGACCCTGGCCTGGGTTTTCCCTTGATGCAGCTGCTGCATAGTCAGTTCCCGGACTCTCGGCACCCGCTCTACCTCAGCTCGCATACGGAAACAGGTACCCACCGTGCCACTCACTTTTTGTTGGTTGTTCTAACAATGACACAGCGCTCCTTCTGGGCCACAGAGACACTATAAACATCCTTTGGGTAGGGGAGATTTCGAATCCGCCACTGGAAACTTGTTTTAGTGTCCTTGCGCATGAAGATGGGCTGTGGAAAGCAAACCAGCCCAGGATGGCCTTAGACTTGCTACATAGTAGAATGACCTTGAACTTCTGTTTCCTGACTCTACCTCCCCAAGTGCTGAGATTACAGGGCTGTGCTATGACACCCAGGTTATCAAGGACCATTCTTGGGGAAAGGTACAAAGGGTTGGCACCCCCCCCACCACCCTTCCCAGGCTCTAGCTAGAGCCAGAAAGAAACCCTTTGCTCTTCTCCATGGCTCCCACCCGAAGCAGCTGCTATTGCTGTGACATACCAGGCCTGGAGGCCTTGCCCGGGAATGGGCAAAATAACGTGTTTGGATGTTCACACAAACCTAGTGTGGCTAGGTGGACATAGTGAATACAAGGTGGTCGGCAAATCATGGTCAGAAGTCTCCTCCCAGCCCCCTTAGATACCAGACAAACAGACATACATTGGCATTACTCTCCTTGATGAGTTCGGGCCCCAGGCTCCCGGCCCCTGAGGGCGCTGGCTCTCCCACTTCAAGTTGCCACTGGCCCAAGGCTCCCAGGGCATTTTTCACACGCCATTTTCTCACTGGGGAGAGAAACAAGCAAAGGATGAACATTCTTTCCCGCCAAATCTGACAGAACATTGGATACCTGGAGCAGGACAAGTGGGGCTTTTGCCTCGATGCTGGGTCTTTTGCACCTGATAGGGGAATCACATAACCTGGGAAGTCTGCTGCGGCACCTCAGCAACAGCCTGCCAAGTCCACCTCAAAGGTGGGCAGCCCCCTGGAGCTGAGCAGCTCTGAGTGGAATCATGGTTGGGGCACCCAGCAGAAGGCAGAGAGCTGACAAAGGTCATTTCTGGAAATGGGAAATCTGGGTCTTCAAATGGAGCTTAGCTGTGGCTTGCTGTTTCTCGAGACACAGTCTTACGAGAGCCCCGGCTGTTTTCAACTCTTCTGCCTTGGCCTCAAGTGTAAGGACTGGAAGAGTGTGCCAGCATGCCCATCTTTGGATGCATTTCCCTCTCTAACAACTATGCAAAGGCAAACGAACTGCATAAGAGCTGTTGTCCAGGTTTGTCTCACGATTCAGAAAATCCAAAGATACTCACTTATTTCAGGTATGCCTGGCTTAATAGCAACAACAGACAGCAACCCCCCCCCACACACACACAGCCCAAAAGTTGTGTTTAAATAATCTTGAGCTAAGGTGTAACTCACTGATAGAGTTTTTCCAAGCACTAGGATTAACTTCCATTATTGCAATCAACAAATAATTTGTTGATTGCATTTTGTGAGACTTATTTATTGCTTTGTATGTTTGGCTTGCATTTATATACTATATTTTAAATGCACTAAGTGTAAGTGTGATTTCTTTTGTAAAATGGATCCTTATGTTTATAACTTGATAATGCAAATAACCATCTTTCCTTGCCCATGTTTTACAACTCAGACATTTGCGAAAGGTTTTTCTTGTGGTTGATGTTTTTAATCCCTCCCCTCCCGTCCTTAAGGTTTGTTTTGTGATGTAAACTCCTTCTGTAGCCTAGGCTACTGCTAACCTCAGGGTGGTCTTCTGGCTCAGCATCATGGGTGCTGGGCTTATAGGCCTGAGCCACCATACTTTGGTGTTGTTTTTGTCTTTTAAATAAGGCACATCTATATGGAAATCATATATCCAGATAGACATGAGTCCGCGGGCAGATTCTCACTGAGCTCCATCAGCCCTGTGCTTGTGGCTGTGGCCATGCAGCCCACCAGTGGAGATGTTTTGCTGGGGTCCACCCTCCACCCCCACCCTTCTGCTGTTTTAAGAAGCCTGGGCCGCCGAGTTGGGGCATCCTACAGCAAGAGCTGAGCGGGCGGTGCTCAAGTCTTCCAGCTCCTGGAGCTGCTCTAGAATCTGACCAACTCAGAAAGGGCCTGATAGGCAACCACAACTATTGTCAGGGATGGCGCTCTCCTCAGGGTGGGCGGGATCTTTTCATGGTGGCAGCATCAGGCCTGTGGGCTTCTGAGCAGCTGGGCCAGACTTGCACATGCTCACTTCTGTGAGCACAAAAGCCAAACACAAAAGTGTGACGTAGAATTAGAACCTTCCCATGAATATGAGCTTTTTATAAGGTCTGCTGAATTCTGCAGTGTGATTTTATTACATCTTAGGGCCAAAAATTCTCTCTAGAAACACATTTGCAAGTTTATAATGGAAATGAATAAGGACGAGTGAAACCTGGAAATATGCTTTCTAGGCAACTCTTTGTGCCCACAAATACTTCCTTAAGTGAATGGGCTGTGACTAGGAGTGTACGCAAACCTGGTCCCCGCAGCACCTCCCCACCTCCTGGAACACCATGGAAGATGGCCTCAAGGGGCTCTGGGACGGTGCAAACAAGTGACAGACACCTCCTAGCAGCAGCTTACTATGACCAGGTGACAAAGCCTGCTCCCTGTGACAGCAAAGATCACCCCAAGGTTCTTAAACCATGTCTGAAATGCTACGCACAGGCTGGGTGCAGCTTGGTGGTAGAGCTATGCCTAGCATGTGTAAGACTCTGGCTTTGCTCCTCAGCAATAGGAAGAAGGGGGAGGGGGAACCCAGCAACAGCTGCCCATATAAAAAATAAGGCAGAAAATTACTTTTTCCCCAGACATGGTTACAGCAGTATCAGGGGACAGCTCACCTGGCAAGCACCTGAGACCGTTTGGTTTCTTTCAAGACAGGGTCTCACGATGTAGCTCTGACAGACCTAGAACTATGTAGACTAAGCTGGCTGTGAATGCAGAGGTCCTCCTGCCTCTGCCTTGCAAGTGCTGGGATTAAAGGTGTGCGTCACTGCGCCTGGCTAAGAGCACTTAGCATTGGGAGCACCTCTGGGTCCCCATACCATTGCTGTATGACAGAACACAGCCATCACAAGTTTAAAGGGGGCAAGTTCACTTGGCAAATGTCTAGTCTAGCACCTCCATTTTTGTTTATTTATCAAGGAGAAAGCATTTCTTCCCCACCTGCTTACCTTCAAGCCCTGCCTCTATTCTCCGGGGGACCAAACATAAAGAACAGTCCCTTTTGTCCCAAAAGGGACAGTTAAAATTCAGGTCTACTGATCATGTGCCACGTACTTAGAAGGCTGGGAGGATGGAGGCTACAGGCTATCGGGCTAGATAACAAAACAAACAAAGAGAATTTGAGTCTTACTTAGAACCCCATATTCAGAGTTCAGTCATCAATAAGAGATAAACTGTGGTCTCCAAATGTTCTAGACAGATGTGATGTGAAGCCTTCAGCACTTTTTTTTTTTTTTTTTTTTGGTTTTGAGACCAGGTCTCTCTATGTAGTCCTGGTTGTCTCAGAACACACTACACTACATGGATATGGCTGGCTTCAAACTCACAGAGATCCTCCTGCCTCTGCCTTGCAAGTGCTGGTATTAAAGGTGTGCACCACCATGCCCAGCTTGTGTTTCTATTTTTATACTTTAGTCTTGAAAGGCCAGGTTTGGTTATCGGAAGGGGAACACTGATGAACTACTACCTAGTTGGGCTGGGGAAGCAAGATGGCCCTGTAATCCTGGGCTCTGTTAAACCACTTGGCCTTGGGACAGCACCAGTATGGCTCCTAGGAGCAAGAGCCACTGCAGGAACCCAGCTCATCTTCCACAGAAACCTGCCCTAGAAGGAAAGGTCATTGCACTTCTGTTCCCTTGTTTCTCATCCCAGTGCCGCTCAGGGTCATGGAAGTGTGGCACCCTTGGCTGTCTCATTTTAAGCACCCTGGGGAATCATATTCTTCACTAGAGTATAAGACGAAAAGAAGGTTCCCTTTCCAGCCTCTCAAGAAGCAAGATTCAATGAAAGATTTTGAAGTCCTTACTTTTCCCAGGTATGTGGGCATGGGTGTGCACAGACAGAAATGCAGTCTGGGCTTTCTGGTCTTGCCTTTGTTCCTGTACTCAAGGACAGCTCCTGCGGCAACGGAGGACAATCTCCACCTGCTGTCACTCTGATTTGATTATATGTTAAACTCAAACTGGTGTGCGCAAGGCAGCTCCCCGGGACGCTGTCATCCCTTCCCAGCTGAGTCAGGGCCAGCCTTTGGAAAGGAGACTTCCAATGACCCCATAAAGGGTCTGCGGGAAATGTATGAAGAAGGCAGTGCAGGGAGATGGGGGGGGGGCTTTCCCAAGTAAGCAGGAAGTGGGCTGATGCCCGGACTGCTGAAAGCAGCCCCATCTTTCAGGTGGGCTGGAAAGTGGAGGCCCTAAAGGCCTCCTTCCCCAAAGCTCCGAGGCCTGGCCCACTTCCAATACGGATAATTACATTCCCTTTCCTAAATACTCCCTGCAGCTTAAACTGGATGCAGAATTCTTCCTTTCTGCCCTAAAACACTGCAACATTGCTATGTGGCTATTAAACAGCTGCCGTGGCCCATCCCCGAGGAGGCTGAAGGGAATCGAGTGGTCATTTATAAAGCCGTTGAAGTGCCTGGGGATGAAAGTGCTCAATATCCTCCAAATGCGGCCTGCACTGGTTAGGCTGGCGGTCAAATACCAAAGCAGATTAAGAGGTAATCCAAATGTAATCGCTGGGGGACGGTCTGCCCTTCAGCCTGGCCCCCTGGACACGCTGTGTTCTTTGGGGGTTGGTTTGAAGTTCCGATCATTGTGCCAAGGCCCTTCGGCTTTTCCTCTATGAATACATACAGCGTTCGTTGTGGGGGGTGGGATGAATAGCCCCGAGAGGGAGAGAAGAGATGACACTAACATGCTTATTAACACCGACTAGAGGAACTTTGTCCCAGACAGATGCACACCTACTGGCAATTCTTCCTCTGTAAATTACTTTCTGAGCTTTTTCTCTAACAGAAAACCTGTTTGACCAATTATCAAATTTGTGTACTAGCTGGGGAAAAAAATGGAAACCATTTCACTCACTGCCACAAAAACTAAATCCACATTCATCTTCGCCGTGTGCACAGGCACCAGCCAGCTCTGGTCCCGGGATCATGTCTACACATTAGTAACCAGGCTGGCGGCATGGGCTTGCAGTCCCAGCTACTTGGGAAACTTGAGGTCAGAAGACCACTTGAGCCTCAAAAGTCTTAGGCCAGCCCAGGTAATGTACGGAGACCCCGTGCCAAAACCAAACAAACGAAAAACTAATACTGGGCAATATTTTGCAAGGGCAGTTGGGCTGGGGTTAGGAGATAAAAACACAGATGGATCTTACTTAGAGCCTGGTAACACACCCTTTACCCTCAACTCTACGGAGGCCTGGATGGGAGGATCACCCAGCCTGGGATATACAATGAGTCCAGGCTACACAGGAGGACCACGTCTTGAGAAAACAAGAACAAAATAAAAGGACAGGATTTAAGCATTCTTTGCTCTAAGATTACGCCACTGGACACAGAAGCTCAAACACTTCTGGGATGGAGTCAAGCTTCAGTCTGGCTCAGACACCACCCAGCTTTATGCTTTTCAACATAGTGCTTAACTTCTCTGAGCTTACTCCTTCAACTGTAAAATGGGGACAACAGAGCCTATGTCGTGGGGCTTTAATGAAGATGGTTACATGAAGTAATTCAAGTAAAGCCCCTGGAATGATGCCCAGTTAGTGTGTTAATGTCATTATTAGGTAAAGCAGCCAAATGGTGAGCTATGTCCCTCCTCCATTCTTGCTACTAAGCAAAAGGAAGTTTGAAGGCCACGGTCTAGTCCAACCTACTACCACCAGAAGTGGGACAGTAGAGCACACAGCGCTACAGAAAGGAACCTGGCCTTACTCTCAGTTTTAATATCATGCCCAAGCATGGCAAAGGGGCTATGCTTGTCTGCCTGTTTTTATGGCCTCCACCGCACTACCTGCTTTGTTTGCTGTGTGGAGAAAAGACGTGACATGAGGGGCTGGGCAGGAGCTGTGACCGGACTCAGGGTGACTGCGGTGGTTAGCTCACGTGACCTCTGCTTTCATAAGTTCTCCCCTGTTAGACATTCCAAGGCTGTCACCCCCTGGGAGCGCTATAAATTACAATGCATTGTGAGGATATTACTACTGTATTGGTTTCCAGCGAATCAGTGTCATATGCTAAACACATCAAGATTTTTAATAGCGCCAGACTAAACCAATTGGGACTGGAGCCCAAGCAGCTCATAATAAGAAGGGATCAACACTTCACTACAACTGAGCATGCGCAGGACACACAGTTTAAGACTGGGGACTGAGAGAATATGCAAACCAGTATAACCCATGTTGTCAGTTCAAGACATTTATGAGCTGTCAGGAAAAGGGAAAAAGAAATTCCCTCACCAATACTACCTGTCGATCAGACCCAGGAAGAAATGAAAGTCAGGAATAAAGACAAGAAAATAACTCAGTCCGTGATTCCATCATTGGTCTTAGCATTTCAGGTGTGACTTAATAAAGAGACCAGCTCCCATGGTGGACAGCTTTGGGCCCTGGGGCACAGGGCCAGTCACCCAGCTCTGGGAAGTCAGTTAATGCCGATGTGCATCCCTGGGAACAGAGAACAGGCAAATCAAATAATCCCCAGAAATCCGAGCTGGAACTCTGATTCATGAGCCTATCTTAAGGAGGGGATCCTGGGCACACAAAGCGATGCTGCTGCAAAAATCACCATTCCTTTCCAGTTCATGTCATTCTTCAAGATGAGGGTCATATTTAATGGTGTCGTCAAGGAGGCAAGGTCAGAAACTGCCACGTCTGATGCTTGCCCTTGGTGTGGCTTCAGGAAGCAACAGAACAAGCAAGCAAAAAGCTTGAAGTGCAAGCCTTGTTTTACCACCGCTCCCCTCTACCCAGCCTCTTCTGTGATCCGCTTTTCCAGCTGTCTCTTAGAACCTCACTTGCCCTCTCATTTAGCTGGAGGTGGGGGATGGGCTGTGCTGGGCAAAGGACTCCACTCCGCTTCTCAGGTTCAGTGTTCTCAGAACAGTCTTACCCCAAGGACCACCATCTCCCTACCATGCGCACTGCATGCTGAGATCCCCGCTCAAGCCTCAGGCCAGGAGCATTCAAGTGGACATCCATCAGCCCCAAGAGCTGCTGAGGACCCTCAGGGAGCCCCCCACTTACCAAGCAGTACACTGGTCTTCTCATCGTATTCTTCTGCCATTTCCTTCCCGTCAGGGAACAAATAGTGCACCATCCTCTTCCCTACACACAAAGCAAAGAGCACCTTACTCGAAAGCTGCCCTCGGCCTTGCCCCTGCAGACTGAGACATCTATCTCCCAAACAGCAACAGCCTGAGAACCTGGCCAGCGCCTCCCCTGCCCTGAGCTTCTTGTTGGCCACCATCGCTCTTGAGATGTGTCCCAGGCTCCCTTCCCATCTCTGAACGCCTTTGCTATGCTGCGCCCACCACCAGCAACAGCCATGCTTCCTCCCAAGCGTGGAACTTTCCTCACTCTTCGATGCCTAGTTCAGTGTCCTCCACTCTGAGTATCCCTCACCTATGATTGCAGCCACCATGGCAGATGGGGCACCTCCCCTTAGTGTCTGAGTCCAGTCCACAGCAGAGCATTTTCCCACACTAGGACAGTGTTAAAAGCATCTGGTAGAAACAGCATCCTATGCCTTTCCCCACTTCCTACAACTAGCGCTATTTGCTCTGATGTGAGCCGGGCTTCCTGACAGGTGCTTCCAGCCACACCGCCACCGCCTTCATCTACTAGGCCACTGCCGGCATGGAGCCCAGGATGCTGTCATCATGTACCTGCTCCCTGACACACACTTGGTTATGATTTTTACATCTCTTATGTGAGTCTTTGGTTATTGCTTGTCTCTTCTATTGGATTGGGTATGGGTGTCCATGGTCTCCCCGAGATCAGCCACAGAACCTGGGATGTGACAGGAACTCAAATGCTGACTCAGAGAATAAAAACACACCGATGCATACCACCCATTAAAAGGATTAAAAAAAAATCAAATAAACCAAAAAAGCTGGGTGGTGGTGTCACACACCTTTAATCCCAGCACTCTGGAGGCAGAGGCAGGAGGATCTCTGTGAGTTTGAGACCAGCCTGGTCTACAGAGTGAGTTCCAGGACAGGCTCCAAAGCTTCAGAGAAATCCTGTCTCAACCACCCCCCCAAAACAAAAAATAAAACAAAAGATAAAAAGAACCCATGGAAGTCTCCTACCCACAATCACTTGCTCAAGAGGAGAGCTGTGCAATTTCTTCCAGGAAGGTAAGTAGATGGAGGTGGTGGGCATGGACCTTCCAGCCTTCCAGCACCTTCCAGAAGAGCCCTGATGTGGCCTTCTCCTGTTTACTCACACCTCTAGGATACAGTTTCCCTGTCAGTCCTAATTTGTATTTCAGGGCAGCATACCCCAAAATTTGCAAGGTATCAATAATCAATCAATAATATCCACTCCCTTAATAATCTGAATGCTTCACAGGTAAGAGCTTGCTCTGTAGGCATGAGGAGCCAAATTTGAATCCTCAGCACCCGAAATAAACAGCTGGGTGTGGTTGTGCATGCCTGTAACCCCAGCATTGCAGGTCCCAGAAATCAAAAGGGTGAGCTCTGGCTCAGGAAGAGACAGCAGTAAGGCAGAGACTAACAGAGGAGTGACGTAAAAGCCTGGCCTTCACACACCTGACATCCTGCTATGGCCTCCGTAAATGCTCCTGTACACTTACATGCAAGCGCCACACACAAATACACCATACCCCTCCCCCCAATACTGCCCTATGACCAAAAGCAACAAAAGCAGACTTGAGAATGCACTTGAATATTCAGGTTCAAAGCAGCATCACTCACGCCTACTGAAAGGCAGAAGGGACCCAAGTGTCCATCGGCAGACGGCTGAACACTGTGAGGGAGGGTACACACACACAGTAGGATGCTTACACTGTGAGGGAGAGTACACAC